AACTGGCATGTGGTCATCTTTGGTGGGGGCATTATTTACTTTTTCTATTCTTCCTACTAGTATTGATACATGGAAAACACCATTCTATGTTGGAATAGTTGGAAATCAGTTCCTTCTGATCTTTTAAAAAACTGAACCTACAAAAGCAGTTAAGGACATATTTATGGATATATGCTAATTATCTGTAGATATGCACTCAAAATTTTACTTTGTGAATAGTCATGTTATTATTATTTTAAGAAGCAGTGAACTGTAATCCAGTAGGTCTTCATTGCAGACTCTACTATGTGATCCTGAGTCACTGACATTCTTTGAGACTATTTCCTAATGCACAAGAGGAAGAATGTGGACTTGGAAATTCTTCACGTTCCTTTGAGTTCTGAATATCTATGCTCCATGAACAGAAAGAAACATAGTAAAGGTGGGAGACTAATTCTATTTTAATTACAGAAACAAAATAACAAAACTTATACAAAGAGGCCTTATTAAAAATAGTAAAGTTTTGATTTTTCATTTTTCTTCCTGTATGTTTTAGTGTAATTTGAGCTATTCACTTTCCATTAAGCTGAATTTATACTAATCTTTTGTTGATATAATTCTTACATTTCACTTTTATCAATCCATTTATCTTTCTGTACCTTCTTATATTATTCACCTCTCACAGGTTAGTTAACTTTTTTTYCTCAAAATATATCAATAAATTAGCCTTGCTGACCAAGGTAAAAACGTACATTGGTAGCTTCAAGAAAAAAGAAAAATGTTACAAGAAAATACCCAAGACAGGCTATTTGTGAAGAAAAGCTTTATTTTAGTTTTCAAGGTTCAAATCCAAGATTTGGTGGCCTGTTGGTTTGGCCTCCAGAAAGGTGATAGATCACAATGGCAGGAGGACATGTTAGAAGGAATGGTCACATCATGAGCCAAGTAGAGAGGAGACTGGAGTTCCACAACCTTGTTTGAAGGCATAGCTCCAATGACTGAAAGTTATCTCCCAGTTGGCCTCATCTTCTAAAGGTCCACTGCCTCCCAAGAGCAATACCATAGGGGGTAAGGCCTTAATACAGGGACTTTTGAGGGATACTACACATATGAGAACCATAGAAAAATTTAATCCTTATAGATTATACCACTCAGAAATGAGTTCAGGTTGAAGATTCTAGACTTAAAGTAATTTGCACCATCAATATTATTTTCATACACATAGCAAAATCACAATGCATAGTATATTAATTGTATTCTAGTCCAAATTGAAAAACACAATATTTATTATTATGATTATTATTATTATTGTTGGTACTTGGAATGTAACCCAGGGTATTTTACCACTGAGCTACATCCTCAGCCATTTTCATTTTTTCATTTTGAGAGAGGATCTCCTCCGAGCTGAGGATTTTGCTAAGGTGCAGAGGCTGGCTTCAAATTTGTGATTCTTTAGCCTAAGCCTCCAAAGTCACTGGGATTYAAGTGCCTGGCAAGACAACAATTTAAAAGTCAAGTAAAAACCAAACAAAGAAAACACATTAAAAAAAAAAAAGAAAACACATGACTACTTAAAATAATGTTCCTTAATCTGCTTTGTTATAGTGATGGCACATATATGGTAATTTATATTGTTGAGGTGTGGATATTTCACTTGGATTATTCATTCTCTTTACATGGCATCTAAATAAAGTTGCCCCAAGTTACATGAATTCAAGTACCTTTTGAAGGCAAAGTCAGTAATGCAAGAAATGTCTACCAAAAATTTTACCTGGCCAGACATGGTGGTACATGCCTGTGATCCCAGCAGCTCCGGAGGCTGAGGCAGGTGGTTTGCAAATTCAAAACCAGCCTCAGTAATTTAGCAAGGCCCTAAACAACTCAATGAGACCCTGTCTCAAAATATAAAAGGGGCTGTGAATATGGCTCAGTGGTTAACTGTCCGTGGGTTCAATCCCCAGTACAAAATAAACAAATTTACCAAATGCTAAAAAAAAAAAAAAAAAATCAATAAATAGGGGTTGGGGTTGTGGCTCAGTGGTAGCGCCTGGCATGTGTGAGGTACTGGGTTTGATTCTCAGCACCACATGAAAATAAATAAATAAATAAATAAATAAATAAATAAATAAATAAATAAATAAAGGTATTGTGTCCATCTACAACTAAAAAAAATATTTAAAAAAATCAATAAATACGATTTAAAAAAATATCTGGTGCTAAAAGAGAATATGAACCACAGGGAAAGAGAAGTAAAATAGGGGCAGATTTACTGTATTTAAAATCCAGATCTTCTGGAATATTGATGTCTGCTGTGCTAGAGCATTGTTTTTTTAATAATATGTATAAATTCACTTGTGATTATTAAATAAGGGAGCAATGTTAGAATACTAGGCAAGATTAGTTGACTCATCCTTAATTTTTTGTACACTATAATTCTTCTGAAGGACAAGTAATTCAGTTTATTTCATAATCAACTGATTGCACCAACGCAGACCTGGAGAAACACAGTACTCAAATGTTTATTTGCTGTACAATAACTTGTGACTGTACATTCTTGAGACTGGCTCAATCATAAGCTAGTGTTCTTACTGAGCAATTTTTCCCCCATGTAGGGAATGAACCCATGGTCTTGCACATGCTAGGCAAGCCCTCTACCACCAACTTATACCCTCAAGCTAACATTCTTAATCATGATCCTATGCTGATTCTCAATGTCACTTGGAATAGCCTTTTTTCTATCCCTTAAGATATAGACTTAAAAACATCTGTCTTTATAGACATGGAAAAAAATTATGTGTAAATTATAACTTATACTGTTACATGAACTAAGAGTTTATATAAATTATGTTGCCTTATTTATAATTAGATATTGTTTTCCATGTATTATTATTATACATTTATAACTAAAGCTCTGTAACTACTGAGAAATGTCCTTGTAAAAAGAGAATCATTATTTATATATGTGCTTTTTTTGCTGAAGAGAACCCTAGATACAAATATTCAATATTTATTTATTGATACCTTTGCAACTTGTAGGAATATCAGTAAAAAATAAAAATTCTCATCATGTTAAAATATTATTTTAATTTTCAAATTACCGTTGTGATTTTTTTTCTTAACTATTCACAAGGAAGTGAAAGTTCAGTTTTCTAAAATTCTAGTAGGAGTTTTACTCTTCAGGTTAATGTTTTTTTGCCCAAGATTGAGTTTCAGAAATAAATTAAAGCATACTTTGGTTCATGCTTTACCACCAACAGAACATAATTTAAGTGAGGACTTTTAGAAATTGCAACTCGAATTAAACTGAAAGTCTGTTATCTTTCAAATTTTGAGTTGTCAGATTGTCTGGATGTGCATGTATACACACACATACACACACACATCAATTTTCTTTTCTCTTTGGAACTTTAACTTTCCCTTATAAGATGTTAAACTCTCTTACCTACTCCCAGGGTTACAAGACTAATTAAATTAAATCACAAATGTAATGTTTGCAACAATATGTAACTTTTTCTTAATAAATGGACTTTTCTTTATCCATATGCACACACTACACATTTGTGATCCTTAGAGACCACAGAAAATACGTTTTAAGACATATGTAAAATAAATTTTAAACCAAAGAGATTTTGTGCATGCTCTATAAACTCCGCAAATCTGCTACTTATTTGGCATATTAATATTATGGAAACTACATAAGGTTCATGGGCTTATAATGTATTTACGATGAAATTACTTCTTAAGTTACTATTTAATCAAGTTTTCCAAACATAAGCATATTCTAAGAGATGAAAATCTACCTGGGCATAYCGGTTATTTCAAAAAATTCTATCATTAATTGGTACTTCAGTTTTCTTTTAATTCAATGCATAACCTTTGCAAATCTCATGTATGAAATTTTATCTGTCCCCTACAAAACATGGGACACTCATCACTTAATTCCTGATTATATAAAGCTTCAAAAGCCTGTAAAATGTTAACTATTGGGGTTATAATATTTTGTGGGTAAGCTCTAATGAAGAGAGAAGTCTCAATTTTCAGAGGAAAACTACCACCACTGCAAGATATTTCAAAGCCACAATTCTTCAGTTAAGAAAAAAAAAAATCATAAAGATATTTTGTGAAAAAGGGAAATCCTTTCTGCCAGCGTTCCTAAACTTTAAGCCCTTTGGAGTTAGAAAACCACAGTTAAAAAAAAAAAAGGTGAGGAACTGTGACGTTTTCTGGTCTCATGTAGAAATCTCAAASGATAGCTGTGGAAAGATCTCAGGAAACTGAGGTCCTTAAGAGRTGAAATACCTCATACAAAAACGACAAACAGCAGAGCAAGGACTAGAACCCKGTCTGGTGCTTACCTATTACACATTTGCTGAATCAATCCTTTCACTGAAGTGCAGTAGCCTTTTATTTTATTTTTTAAAATTTCATCCTGAAAAAAAGGTAGCCCTCATGGTGTGGTATAAACATGGTCATCTTACACACCTTATTTGGATTTAGTTTCTTAACGAAGTTAACAATGCCTCCATTTTGGAGTACTTTTAGAGTCGAACATAGAATACACATGCTTTTCATTGCTGGGTTTTCCAGAGATGTACATCATTTACTTAAACATGCACAAGMTGTCCTAGGCCATGTAACTTCTTTTTTTCCGTTTAATACTCGACCCGTGGTGGAAAAAAACAGGGATTCCACTTCCCTGCACGTATATTTTATATAAGAACTGAACACYTCTCTTCATTCGTAACGAAAACACCTCATTCCGTTTCTTCCTGCCTGCCTTTTCTTTCCATTTTTTCCGCCGGTAGCTTCTACCAGCCTTTTTACACCAACTCCCTCCTACCCCATTTTCAAGAAGGCTCTTCCTTTCTTTCGTTTGTCGGTGRCTTTCGTGGTTTTCGGCTTCCGGATCACGGCCCGGAAAAGTAGCGGAAACACACTGCGCACGCGCACTAGCTCATCACCGATTTGCTTCCTGTTTGGTGGCCGGTTCCTTTCAATTTCCGACGCGGCGGCTGCTGTCGTGAGGCAAGTCTCGCGATATTTGTTGCCGCCGGTGGGCGCGAGCCGCGGCTTGGTTCTGGCGGGCCCTTTTAGCTCTGTTTGTCGCCTGCGCCGCATCATTGCCTGGAACCACTGGGCCTAGTAGCATGACGTCTGCCTTGGAGAACTACATCAACCGTATCCTCTAGCCCGCTGCAGTAACCTCCGGGGCTACTGCGGGGTTCCCGTGGGGATTGGAGCGGGACCCTTGCGAGGGAGGCAGGGGGTAGGGATCCGCGAGCGGTCTGGGTGAGGGTTAGGGGCTGAGTATTCCGACTCGCCAATCCCTGGTTGGGGGCTTGGCCAGCCGAGCCTTTGGACCCTAGGCATTTTTAATTTTAGTGTAATCATTCAGAATTTTTGTGTATATAAAATCCCCATAATGATTCATTCTTACTCTTTTATGTTCAAGTTTGGAAATAAGATGAACAGTTGTCCTAGTGATGTTTGTAATGTTTTGAAAGTCTACGTATTTTTTTATTCATAGGCTTTGCTCTTTGTTTGAAAATAGCAAAGTTGCCCCACAAATTGAATTTCTGCTCCATTCTACTTGAAGTCTCAACTTGTTGGTAGAATAAAAACATGCTTGCTATTCTAAAAGGTTAAATAACTTAAAAAAAAAAAAACAAACTTGTGAAGTTGGTTTTTTTTTTTTTTTTTTTTTTTTAAGTAGTCTTGCAAATGTTACTGTTTTAAAGTCCTAGGACAAAAACATAACAAGTGCTCATGTACAAATTGGGGACATGTTAAATACTGAAAGTTTTTATTGATGGATGTATGGTTAATATCCTGTGAAGTTAATTACAGCTTCTTTTCTTTTGAATTCCATGAGTCAAATCCTGGAAGACAAGTGTCTTAATGTACCTGAAATCGTGCAACATTTTGAAAATGAATTAGTAGTCCTAAGGGGGAAATATATTACTCAGAATCATTGATTGTCAACATTTCTAGTTAAAAAAAAAAAGTGCCAAATTTAATTCCACCTGCGACAGTATACGCTGATCATATAAAAAGGTGTTTTGTTTTCTTTCTCTTGAGGGAAGGTGAAGAGGAGCTTTCTGATTAATTATCAAGGGAAGAACTTATTGAACATAGTGAATGTGTTAAATAGGTGGATTTAGATTCTTCATCTTTTTTTCTAGTAATTCAAATGATTCCTGTACCTAATCTAAGTTTTCATTCTGTAAGAAATGTTTTCCTTGATTCAGTTATCAGGAACTGTTGCTGTTATTACTTCTGATGGGAGAATGATTGTGGTAAGTGCTTGACATTTTATTCTCTGCTTTTTGTGGTCATATTGGAAACCTGATCTCTGGTTCTTAAGCACCGTAGTATACTTGTGTTTCAATTTAATTTTGATTCAGCTCTTTATCTCTTTGCTGCTGATCCATATTTTCTTTACAAATAAACATTCAGTGTATAGCACAGGGCATCTAGTAAATAGAATAATAGGTTGTGCCCTTAGAGAACTTCTAATCTGCAGATCTGTATCTTATATTTATTTATTTTCCTCTTCCATTTTTTATTTCCTTCCCTATTCAGTGCTCTAGTATTCACAGGCAATCATTTTATATATATATATATATATATATTTATATGAATTTTGTGGATCTTTCTTGGAAACTTATGATTTGGATAGTATATGCATGTAGAGTCATACATGTATATTCCTTAATAATGTGGATCCATTAGGTGATTTCATTGTACAAACATCATAAGAGTGCTTACACAAAGACAGCAATGACATCACTAGGTGATATAATCTTATGGTCCCATTGTAGTTATTTTTAGCCCATTCTGGACTGAAATATTGTTATGCAGTGCATGACTATAATTCCTTGTTTACTCATTCTACAGTCTTTTATTTCTTTCTTTATAATCCTTGTAATCCTCAGTAGATCCTTAGTGACTGCTGTTAGTCAAAGTGCTGGACTATTAAATGCATAGCATGTGCCAGGCATTTTGTTATTATATAGTCTGCACTACCACCTTGTGAAGAATTATCCCTGTATTCTAAGTTAGGAGCCAAGCTCAGAGAGTGAGTCCTTATCCTAGAGAAACAGCATTATAAGTGACAGAAYCAAATGAGGATTTAAGTTGGGCTTGTTTCCAAAACCTAGGTTAATTGCCTTTCTTTCTCTTTAATTAAGGAAGCAGCCATGAATTTTTTAGGTACCTCACATTCTATTTTGCCAAATATGGACAGTTGAAATATTTTAATGTCAATAGTGATGTAACTGTCTTTGTATAAGGACACTCTTAATGATTTTTACCTAACAATGAAATCACCTAATGATGTGCCACTATTGATAGGCTTTAAGAAGCCTATTGCTATGAATGGATACTTGCAGATAATTTTTTATTTTGAGAAAACCTCATTTAAATTTTTTATTCTTGTTAGCAGTGTAGATAGTAAATTGAAAAGTTAATTTTATAGAAGAAGGAAAGCTATATAAAAAGAGAATTTTTAATCCKAAACTTAAATAGTTCTGTATGTCTTTGACATATAGTTACTTGATACAGTATTTTTGTGTAAAATAAAGCTGGGAAGTTATGTATAGGTGTTATAACAACAACCATTTGCTAACTAGTATAGCAATTACTCCAAATTTTGTTTCTCTTACAAATTCTAGATTCTGAGTTTTTCCTTACTACCTTCTGATTTTATGTATTTTGATTTTCAAATCATGATACATTTAACAGTGATCTTGAGAGGTTAACCATTCAAAATCAATATAAGTTGATGATTTTTCAGAAACTTGAATAGCATCTGAGTCACTGTGTTTGGCTAGGACCATGTCTTCCTTATTTAAAACCATAAATTTTTTCCTGATTATTTCTTTCAAGTTCTGGTTTAATTATCAGAATTATATTTGTATCTACTTTATTGTATTATTGAGAGAATTAAATAATACATGTGAGGCACACAGAATACTGGCAGCTAGAAAGAACTCATAAAGTATTGTAACTACCATTTGAAGTTTGTATGTATTTATGGGATAAATTTCAGTCTCAGAAAAATGATAGATTATATTCATTTATTTATAATAATAAGTAGTGGTTCAGTGGTGTGACTCTGGAGCTAGCCTTTTGTGGTTTGGTACCTGGGTCTGCTACTTACTCTCCAGGAGACCCTGAAAGATACTTCTGTGGGCCTCAGTTTTTCTTTTTTGAAATGGGCATAATTATGGTTTTACCTCAAAGGGTAGAAATTAGTTGAGATAATGTGTGCAGCATATGTAGTACAGTACCTTACACTAGTGTGTAGCTTGTAATGATACTGTTAATTTGCTATAGTTCATATGCATGTTTATACCTCTTATTTATACATGATCTTTCCTTAAATCTCCCTTGTTTTAATTTTTGTTTTTAGAATGTTAACTATTGGATTATGTGATCTTTATGCTACTTATTACGAAGTACTCTGGTAATACTATCTTTTGTAACTCTCAACTCTGCACACTAGTCAAATATGTGGTGAACCTTTTTTTCCTTATCATAAAGGTGAGTTCTGTGCCCTGGAATGCTGTTGGTTACAAAGAAAATAATGAACTTATATTTAAGATAGGCAACTTACAGATAACTACAGTAGTTTTAAGGTTGAATTTGCACATTCAGTAAACTGGAATATTTCTCTTGTATGTTTTCTTTTTAGGGAACACTGAAAGGTTTTGACCAAACCATTAATTTGATTTTGGATGAGAGCCATGAACGAGTATTTAGCTCTTCACAGGGAGTAGAGCAAGTAGTACTAGGACTATACATTGTAAGAGGTGACAATGTGTAAGTAAAATATGTTTTCTTTTTTTTCTTTTGGCAGTAGTAATGATTGCTAGACAAGCACTACCACTTGGCTGCATCCCTACCCCTTTGTAAAATATATCCTTTCAAGTTAGGTTAGAATTATAATATAGGTATGCTTCCTTGCTTTATGGAATAGAGATTTTTCCCCAAATATCATACCGTATCATTCATACGTAGATCATAAAATGTTGCATTCATTTTATAAATGTGGCTTTTCTTATATTTGTTTAAAATAAGGCAAAAATTTATGCATTTTATGTTGATTTTTTTTCAGGTGCTAACCTAAATGATCTTTTTACAAATTAAACCTTGACCTACTTAGATTTGTCCAAATTTCTAATAGTTAAATGACCTGAATAGGGTCGAGAAAGGGTGCTTCCTTACACCAAATACTTCAGTAGAAGCTTTCTAAAGCGTTCTTCCAAATACTCTGAATTTCAGAGGAACATAAATACATTCCTAGGTTTAAAAATGTCTTTGAAATCTCCTTTTTGAACAATTTTAAATAATTAATGCTTATTTATAGTTCATTAATTTTTAAAGTATAATTGACACACTGAAGACATCCCATGTTTATGTGGTCTCATTTAACTTGGGACACATTGATAATCCAGATTAAGATTATTTTAGAAGTAGCAGTTTAAGGAAAATCCAGAACTATGTAGAACAGTGCTGACCAGAATGATTTTTTTCACATGATTGGAAATTTGCATATTTGTGTTTTCTGAAATGTTAGCTATTAGCTATATGGGGCTCTTAAACATTTGAAAAGCGCTGACCTAACTGAATAATTAAATTTTAAATATTATTTAATTGTCATTTTTAATAGTCACATGTGGCTAGTATTAGTACAGTTATAGAGGCTAGAAAAATGTTAAATAAAATTTTCTAGCAAGTTTTTTAATATTTTTGGAAAATTCATTGAAGAGTCAATCAAACATCAGTCATGAAAACTGTTTTTTGCCCTGATTTTTAAGAAAGTCATCATAAGGTAATTTTTTACTTCTTTATACATCAAAGTATGATTGGAAGGCAGTATGCAATTTTAGGTTATTTGGGGGATATGTAAAATATAGAAGATGAAGGAATACTTTATTTTTTTAAATCTTAATATCACCTTTAGATAGGTAACTTGATCTTTAAACAAATTGGGGATTTATAAAATATTCTATATAGAGATGACTTTTAGGTGAAATTACAAATAAGTTGTAAAGAAAAAGAGGCAAACCAGATTGGACCCAGATCCCCATACTACAACAATAATGATTGTTTATATTGGGATATGTGTAATAATTGTTCTGAATAAAGTTTCTCTTACTGTAATAAAAAAATTTAAATCTTTGGCCTAGACCTATTGGTGTGCTAGAGCCAGTTTGGTCTGATTCATGAAACAGATTGTTATATTTTCAAGAATTTTGCAAACTAATTGATTGATGTCTGTAGTAGCTTGAAATTGGCCATGGTGGGAGTATCTGCATGAAGAATATTAGTAAATGCTATAAATCAGCCTCTCACTTTTTCTCCAAACAGCTGATTTTTTAACATTTATCAGTATTCTTTTAATATTGCTTCCTGTAATAATGTTACCTTCATTTTGACACTTAAATGTGCAGTTCACTAACTCATGAAAATATTGTTTACTTTCTATCTTAAGTAGTTCAGTTTTATATGTGTTGGAAGAATGATGCCAAGTGCTTTGATTTGATTAATAAATTTCAGAAATACACATGAATATATTTAAGAAATGTGTTTATTTCAACTCTGATTTTTTTTTCCCCTCCATAAATAATTACAGTGCTGTCATTGGAGAAATTGATGAAGAGACAGATTCTGCGCTTGACTTGGGGAATATACGAGCAGAACCTCTAAATTCTGTAGCACACTGAGGAAAAACTACGTATATTGGACATCTAAATCTTGTACAGAAACCAGTTATTCTGAGGAAGATGTTTGGAATTTTTAGAAACATGTAATTGTGAATTTTGACTTCATATTGATTCAGTGTAATATGTAAATTAAAATATTTCTACATTTTTATTGAAAAAATATTTTGCCTAAATTATAAGTGTGGTGGCTTGGTTTTATTTTTCTCTTAAATGATGTGGAAATCTATTGATTCTGAAAACGTAGAAAAAATCAGTACTCTGATATTTTAATATTTATGAAAAACTAATTGAAAAGAGAAATGTTGCATTATAAAAATTGTGCACACAAATAACCTCAGTAGTGCAAGCTATATGTGGTTTTTTTTTCATATTTTTTTTTTTTTTTAAAGAAAGTCACTAGACAGTATATCTTGTCTTCTACAGGTATTCAAGCCATTGGCATTTATCCCACTGAACTAGTGGTGGTTTACCAGTACTTTAAAAAGTTGCTCCCTAGCACTCAGAGATGTGGTTAAAATGTCTTTAATCTAGCAAAGAAAAAGTACTAATAAAATTTTAATAAATTGGGCCAAAAATTAGAACTGAATATTAAAGATGACCAGGAAAGACAGGACTGATTAAAAAGATTGTTGGTAAAATCCTTCGATGGCCCACCCAATGCATTAGATCTGAAAGGAATATGAATATATTAATAATGAATTTTATAAACTGTTTTATTTGAAAATATAAATTTCATTGTAGCTTTTAATTTTTAAGAATTTTAAGATTTCTAATATTGAAAATTTTACTGTTGTTAAATGTGGGTATGTAAACCTTTAGTTTAATTTGGAGCAATGCTTGCTATTGCCAACAACTTTCCTACTTCTCTAAACCTGATCTCAGAAATAAACATGTTTTTTGAAAGAATATGAAGAAACAATGTAAGTAGTGTTTAGATAATCCAGGCTAGCCAACAAAAATTTTTATTAATTCATGTGTAGACCAAAGTGTTTCTTTGTGATGGGAATTATAAATTTACATTTTTAGTTTGTTTTTTCTCCCCAATGTGGAAGTGCTTAAAATAGGGGTTGGCAAACATTTTCTGTAAAAATCTATATAGTAAATATTTTAGACTTTGAAGGCCATTTGGTCTCTGTCACAGTTACTCATCTGTGCTGTTGTAATACAAAAGCAGCGGTAGAYAATGAGTAGTCCTGGTTGTGTTCCAATAAAACTTCCTGTACAAAAACAGGCACCAGGCTGGATATTGCTTGAAGGCCACAGTTTGGCTTAAACTACGAGAAGAGTAAGAAGAAATAGTGGCCAATTTGTATAAATTCTGTAAAGGGCTTTTGGAATRGATCCGTTCAAAGAATTTAGAGGTGAGTTTCAGTCACATTTTTTAAAATACTTAAAACTTAAGACATGATAGTTTGAGATATACAGGAACAAACCTTATAAGAAAAAAAGTTGGGATGGTTTTTTYATTGGTCAGCAATCACCATCACCCTAGAATAACTTAGTTGATGTTCAGGAGGGTAAGACATCTGGGAAGATAAGAGATTAACTAGTATTGGCTATTCCTAAATATTTGGCCTTTGTAGTGGTATAAGGTTGTTAAACTTTGGATCTGATATATCTCCCAAAGCTCCTGAATTGAAGACTTGGTCCTGGTTTCCATGCAACAGTGTTCTTAGATTTGGGAAAGTGACTGGATCATGAGGGTTCAAACCTCATCAGTGCATGAATGCATTGATGGATTCATAATGTGATGGCATTATTGAGAGGTAGTGGAGCTTCAGAGGAGGAAAGTCACTGGGGGAATTCTCAAGAATTTTGTCCTTGTCCACTTACACGCTAATTCCCAGCTGCTGTGAGGTTATCAAGTCTGCTCTACCACCTGCTCCCTGCCTTGTTTTGCCTTACCATAGGTCCAGAAAACGCATCCAGCTGAACCTGGGCTGAATTCTCTCAAACCATGACCCAAAATAAATCTTTTTACCTTTTATAAGCATTTTTCTTGGGTAGTTTGTCACACAATGATAATCTCACATAGGTTTTATAATCTATTTAGTAATAAAATGAAAGTGATGCAAAGTGGGCAAAGCAAATAAGTTTAGTTAGGGACCATGAAATAGATATTCTGTTTCAGTGGAACTAATTCCAATAATTAAAACTACAGAACATTCATTTTGTAAGAAAAAAAATTCATTCTGATAGTACAAATGAAATCCAGAGTCAGATCTCCCAAAATACTTGTTGTAGCAACACGAATAACATGTAAATACATAAACACAAACCATAGTCCTCACCCTCCTGTTGATGTGTTTCTAATGTGATATATCCTCTTGGATTTCTTTTTGCATGAAAATTGTAAGGGAGCAACAACCATATGTGGTAATGTGATTTATATGCAATATCATGTTTTTTTATATTTAATGAAACTTAAATTCTGTTATTAGTTTCTTATTGAGACTCAAGTTTAACCTGTAATTAACCTCTGTGACTTGACACAGGCACAAGGCACAATCTAAAACCAACTTAAGAAGGAATTACAAGTATTTCTTGGCAAGATATTTTCTTTAAAGTTATTTGAAAGGGGCAATTAAACAACTTTTTTCTTTTTTCCTGAAAAGGAAAAATTAAAATAATAGTTTAACATTGCTTGGACTGGATTCCCAGTACTGTAGCCTGCAAGTAGAGTGCTTGCCTTCCATGTATGAGGCCCTGGATTTAATCCCCAGCATTGYAAAATAAATAATAATAACTTTGCTTTTAGGTTGGAGCACTTTGATAACTTAAATGGCTTTATACTGACAATTTTGGCTTAAATATTACAAATCTTGATTCCAGAACAAGAGATACTAAATTTTTATTAGTATCTGCTTTACTGAAATGTCCTACTTAACATTTATAAAAACYATTCTGAAGTTTTAAGCTAATAATATGAGATGAAAGTAGGACTAAAACACAACTTTTAGGTGGTATTTAAAGCAAACATAAGAACTTATTATTTGTCTTAGATGAGTAATGGAATATTTACCATGTGAATAAGAAGTGATAAACACTCTCTTCATAAAGACATGTGAACCTGCTTTGTGTGGTAGTCAGTTATATAGCAACTCTTAACTAGTAATATAGTCTGTTCTTGATCTTCACCTTCAAAATTAGTAGATAACTTTTTTTTTTCTCCCATTCAATGCATATCATGTGTCAAGCATGATGCTAAGTGCTTACAACAGTGATCATTCTACACGTTGGGTAATTGAAGCTTAGCAGAGTTAAATGCCTTACAAAAGGTAGCACTAGTGAGTAATGGGAATCTTAATTCAACCTGGTTTTTGTGCTAATACAGAAAGTATGATCTCATGGTGGGGCATCAGAAGTCCCACAGAGATATACTTAGGTCTAAGACAATTCCCAGAGCTGTCCTGTGGGCCATTTTCACTGAAATGCTTTATTATTGGGCCCTATTTTCTGATTGTGGTTCAATAGATCTGTACTAGGACAAAAGGGAATAGTTGCTAATAGCAAAAGAAAGCATGGTAGAGTTATTAAAAGACCTAGCTAGCATTTGTGTATGCTACTCCATAGAATCCTTAAGACAGAATCACACCTATCTTTCTGGGCTGTGACAAAACTAGACTTCATTTAAAACACTTTGTATGATTTCTAGAACATAACAGTCAACAGCTTTTATTCATAGTATTCGAAAGTCAATGTGGATAGGTTTCAAATGTGGGTTTGTCACTTTCATTTTTCAGTCTGTCTCACTGGTAACCATATCCTCTACAAGAAACTTGAGTATATAAATCATGAAGAACTTTGGTTATGTGAAAAGTATGTATAAATTTAACACTATTTTGGGCCAGGGTTGTGGCTCAGTGGTAGAGCACTTGCTTAGCATGTGTGAGGTACTGGGTTTGAATCACGTAAAAAAAAAATAACCACATAAAGAAACAAYGGGGCTGGGGATGTGGCTCAARCGGTAGGCGCTCGCTTGGCATGTATGTGGACCGGGTTCGATCCTCAGCACCACATACAAAGATGTTGTGTCCACCAAAAACTAAAAAATAAATATTAAAAAATTCTCTCTCTCTCACTCTCTTTAAAAAAAAAGAAATAAACAACTTTTTTAAAAAAGGTCCATCTGCAACTAAAAAAAAATTAAATGAAAACTTAACACTATTTTAACAAATATGCTAGAGAATTAAATGTGCTCCTAGAGCAGGCATATCTTTGACCAGGAATTTGAACATTCTGAAGATTTTTACTACAGAAAAGAATCTATTCATTCTGAACTTCTATACTCACTACCTTATTTCATAGATTTATTTCTAATCATTTTAATGTTTTTTTTTATTTGGGCTATTAGTCTGTTTTTAAGTCATTAGCAAATTGGTTAAATTGYTTTCAGTTTACATGTAACTGAAAAAAATTATGTCAAAGCCATCTTTCTGGCTTGATACTGATCCATTAAACAGCATAGTGCTCTCATTCAAGCAGCAACAAATGCATTTAATTGCAAAATATCTACTTTTTAAATACCATCTTGTTTATAGGGATTATTATTTGTATAAGATTTGGTCAGATGCTTTTTTTTTTTTTTTTTTAGTTTGCAATCCTGGGGATTGAATTGGACCGGACCTCAGGGCATTGACATACTAGGCAAATGCTGTACCTCTGMGCTATATCCCAGCCCTAATCACATGCTTTGATGTGATTTTCCTTATTCTGTATAGTAAGAACTTAGTAATTACAAAGCTTGGACGGTCTTTGTGAATTGATACTGCCTCCCAGTGATCGTGTGTTCAACTTCAAAAATAGAGTTTTGGAATTTTTGTGAGGGACATTTGTCAAGTCATTAATATATGCTGGGTATTGTGCTTGACATTGTGTATGTACTAGGGAACAAAATTAAAAAAATATTGTCTTTGTGAAGCTTTATCTGACACCTGAACCATAAAGCAACTACAAGTGGTCTTAAGTGGGTACAATTCATATCAATCATTTCAATTCATATCATCATTTTTTAAATTATTATTTAAGATTGCTAGGTCTGTGTAAATTGCATAACTCTAAGGATAAAAGTAAAATAGAATTTCTACTGAGTTTTCTACAATTAGTTAACAGGATACCATCTGCTGCCTTTTGGCATCACTTAGGGGATGGAGGAGTTGAGAACTGTTCTTCAAGACAAAGTTTAAATAGGAAGAGAGGTTTTAGCCTTAAGAACTTTAAAAACCCAATGTTGGTGTTAAATATTTTTRTAGGGTTTTTTGTTTGCTTGCTTATTTTTTGGTACAGGAGATTGAACCCAG